TGACCAGAAACTATGAGAACTTTTTTGTTCGATGCAGAAACTCTAAAGTACAAAATAAACATTCAAAGCTCCTTCTCCACCTCTATCTCTGATATGAGAAATATGTTTTTCTTACAATTCATATGAATTCGGCATATACAATCTTAGCGAGTCAACGATCAATTAGTATAGTCCAGACATTTTACTACAATTTTATAAAAAAATTTGCTAGAACCAAAATTTGCTATAATGTATACTATAGTAAAACCAAATTTTAGAAAATTATTCAGGGTAGTACTTCTATAGGTATTTTTTATTTAAAGAGCTACAAGCATATTAAAATAAAACTTTTAAATTGTAAAAAGGCATAGTAGCAAAAATAAAAAAAAAATATAAATAAATGTTTATGTTTACATGTGAAACTAACTTTTTTCAAAATCCACAGTAATAATGAAGTTATAACGATTTTTGTTCTTGACAGGTTTTTAGCTTTTTTTTCAAATTATTTAAATTTTTTTTCCAATTTCTAAATGCCATTTTAATTGACTTGTTACTACGCAATTTTTCTCAAATTTAACCGAACTTATAGCTCTTCAAATAAATAGAAGGATACTCGGTGCACCCTGTATAATTTTTTAAAATTTAATTTTACTATATTATACATATTATAGCCAATTTTGGTTCTATCAAATTTTCCCATAAAATTATAGTAAAATGTCTTAATAGATTTTATAAAAAAAACTTTTATCTTTTATTTTTTAATATATTGTCTTACGTATGTGGTTTTATATTTTTACGGTTTACAGCTACCTCAAATACTTTTATACAAATACAGGGTATCAAAGTCTGTCAACATTGTAAATCGAATCAAATCAATTAATTTATTAATTAATTAAATTATCTCATTAATAAAAAAATATTTGATAGGGCAATAAACCAACGCACATTTAAAATCCCATTAATGTTTAATTATTAACTTGCTAAGAAGAGTGTAGATATTTATATCTTATGTATAGTAATATTATAGAAAGCAGCATTAATAATTATTTGGTTCAGTTAATTGAAATAGAAAATATGGTTTGTATCAAGGAAATAGCGCTGGAATGCGTAAGCAATAAGCTCAAATGGTAATAATTATGAAATCAGTTATGCCAAATCCAATTATATCATACTGGGGGTCTAACAACAGCTTGTCGCTGCCATATGATGGATATTTATAAGAATTAAAATACAGAAAAGTAAATTTTCTTCACGTACCCAAGCATTGACTAACATATCAAGAATGCCTGCATTTTAAATTTATTACGAAAACCTTGAATGGCTGTAATGCACATTGTTGTTTCAATATCATTTGTCATTATTGTTGTTGTGTTTGTGTAAATTTATAAATAAATATTTACGGCAAAATTCGCATTTTAATGTGAATTTTTTACATGCCTTCTGCGTCAATAATAATGTACACACCCTGCAAAGTACCTACGTTAAAAATGTTAATATAAAGATAGATTAGAACCATGGCTGTCCTGTCAACGCTTACTACCAAATTATTTGATTATCTCCTAACTGTAAAAACAATTTAGAGCAATCAAGTGTAGTTTTTACATTCTAGTCTGTAAAAAAACTTCGATAACTGCTTAAAAGTCTAAACCTGTCTAACCTCACTTTATACTTTTATTAATTGTTATTATAATAATTATTGTTATTTTTATTATAATAATTATTGCATACGTTTTATGTACGCAATATACGTTTTATATATACGATATACCGTTTAACAAATAAAACTGTACCTTAAAGAGAAAATGTTGTATGCCATTCGGCTAAGAAGTGCCTTTTTGAAATTAACTCAATTGTATGCCTCCGCTAACGCGTCGGACTTTAAGATCAGCACAAAAAGGCTCACTTCTTAGCCTTATGACCAAAGACCAGATTTTAGGCCGTTAAAAATTGGAAATTAGGACACATAAATAGGCAATAAAAACCTACATTTTAGGCCAATTTAGGCAGTATGTGCCTAAAATAGACCTCAACCGTCTAAAATAGGCAATATGAAATAAAAACAACACGATTGAACATAAAACTTATTCAGGTACCATCAATAAAAATAAATCAAAAAATATATCTCTCTCTATATAAAATAGGCACATAATAAAAATAATAACACAAACTCTAGCAAACAATATTGCCATATGGGCCATGTGAATAACTACTGTATGAATAAAGAAAAGAAAAACCTTATACTTGTAAAATTTAAAGCAAATCTTTTGCCAATATGAAAAAAACATAAAAGTAAAATTTCTTACTTAAAATAATAAGTAAATTCATTTACTATTACATTATTATTAATGAAAACCTAATTTTGTTATACTGTGTATACCATATGTACAGGTTTCTATATTATATTTGTTAATACAATAAAAAAAATTGTAAAATTTGCAAAATTAATTGGTTAAACCAACAAACTCAATTAACAAATATATTAAATTACATACATTTTACTAAAACAACAATTTAAATTGATAATTTATCTTTTTATCCAAAGTATTTTGCAAATTTAAAACGTAATTTAACAACTTTGAAATGCAAAATATTTTACTATATTTGTCCAGCTCCTGCAACCACCCTGAAACCTAAATAAATTGTTTGCAATATTAATAGTTTTTCTAAATGAAATACCTATTATTTAATTGAATCTCTATACACTTATTAGAAATAAGCAGGCCGACTCTGAACAAAAAATATAAACAATACCACAGACAAACAAACAAACAAAATTTGTCTGCGACAAATAGAAAAAAAAGCACGATAGGTTGATTCCAACGGTTGTCAAAGTTGGCTTTAGCCATTTATTACAATAAAAATATATTTTTTTCTGAAAAATTAAACGAGCCTATTTTAGGCTCATAAAAATGTCCTTTTAGGACAATAAATCAAAATTTCGTAATTTTAGGCTTTTAGGTAAAAACAAAGGGGTGTCAAACGCTTTATTTTTTTTAGTTGGATTATTAGGATTAATTTCAAGGTCCCAAACAGATGCCTAAAATAGAAACAAAAAGGCATTTTGCCTAAAATCCGGTCCTTGCTTATGACATAAACAGCTATTTATTTTGTTTTTTTCGGAAATCGCTAGTAATTTTATTTTAAAGAGTTTTATGGGGTTGTGTGTTATGTGTTCAAGTTCATTGCAGTCAAAATGTTTCGATATTTATTAGCTGAAAATGTGAATAAACTTTTTAAACATTTACAAAATTAAGAATAATTGATGCTTTTAAATTAAGCAATATACTGCTTTCTGTTAAAATATAATATATTATAACATTATATGTTGATAATAATATATAATGCAGAATCACGTGAGTAATTATTTTTGTACCGTATAAAATGTTCTATAATTTTGTATTTTCCAAAATTTTTATAGTATTTAGGTTGAATGGTTATTGTATATATTATTTATTATTATATTATATTTGATACAATAAACGCAAGCTTCTTTATAGAAAAATTATCTAAAATTGGGTTTAGAGGTAAAATTTTGGAATGGTTGCAATCATATGTGTCAAATATGCAGTTTAAATTAAAATTAAATTGAATTAAAAATTCCTTATCTGAAAACTTTAAAAATGATCTAGGTGTTCCTCAGGGTTCCGTTCTAGGTCTTCTTTTGTTTTCAATTTATATAAATGACTTACCTAAATTTATTATGGGTAAACTTACAATGTATGCCGATGATACATCGGTTGTGGTATCAGCACCGAATCCTGAGAAACTTAAACAATATGTTGATGAGGTTAACAACAGTTTTAAAAAATGGTGCAGAATTGTCTTATTTTAAATTCTGAAAAAAACTGAATATGTATACTTCTCTCTCCGTTTAAGTGGATTGAGTAACTTTAATAACCTTAATTTAAACATATCGAAAAAGGTGAAATTTTTGGGGCTAATAGTGGATGCTAAGATAAACTGGGATAACCATATAGATAACCTTTGCCAAAAACTAAGCGCTTCAAACTTTGCCCAAATGACAGTCTATCTTATACATCACTCTTAAATGCCTATTAAGGACTTTTTTACTCGCATATATCTTATAATATAATTTTTTGGGGAAGAGGAACATCAGCAAATACAGTATTTATTATGCAAAAGCGCGTAATTCGAATAATGTTTAACCTACCTGGTAGGGCTTCCTGTAGAGATACTTTTATAAATTAAAAATTACTAACATTGTATGGAATTTATATATATAGTATTATGAAGTTTGTTTTTAATAACTTGAGAAAATTCCCAAGTAATAGTAATTTTCACTTATACTCCACAAGAAGTGGCTCAAGATTATGTGTTTCGAGACATACAACTTCTTTGTTTAAGTCACTTTATTTTTCTGGCATCAAAATTTTTAACATTTTGCCTAATTAAATTTAGGAAACAAAAAATTATAATGTTTTTAAAAGAAAACTGAAAGACTTTTTAATTGAGGAATGTCCTTATGAACTGAATAAGTTTTTAGAATAAATTTGTAGGTACTTCCGAGTATATTTACTTGTAGTGTGTGTATTGTATTTCTTTGACTTGTCCTATACAATGTCATATGAATGTTATCTATGTCAATTGGAAAATTATTATTATTATTATTATTATATTAGTTACCTATGCATTTAAGTAACGATATATAAATTTCTTTTCTTTATGTTTAATATTTCTCAATATACATCTAACTAAATTCCGTAATAAATATCCATTAATTTATAATTTAATGAGGACATTTATGAGTTAGTTAACTTACCCACATAATATGTGCAAATATAAAAAAATATAAACGCCTTTGGGAATTTATTGGGAACAATAAACAATAAGAGGTTTGCCTGTCAACAATTTCAAGAATTTACATTTTTTTAATATAGAAATTTTGATTGATGTTTAATTATTTAATGATATGCTTATTATTATATTTGCAAAAATTTACAACCTATGTAGTTATAAGGGGGTCAATTATATGTATTAAAGTTTTATTTTTTTTGTTTCAGAATATTTCAAAATGAGTGTGTGATTTAAAAGTGCCAAAATGAGTGACATTGTTCAAATCCTGGAGTGGAATACTGGGGATCTAATTTGGTTTGACCCCGGCATTGGCCACTGGCTTCCAGGGGAAGTCCTAGAATGTCACAGGAGTGCCAACGTTTTGACAGTGCAGGCTGTCATCAGTGGAAAGGTAAAAACTCCAGATTTGCCCCAAAAAAACCTCTTAACAAGTTATTTATTGTTTACATTGTTTAACAATTTATGTGATAAAAAAGTGTTGTAAAATTAAGAAGAACTATTCATTAACACAGTCACAATGCAATTTTCTTACAAAGCATCCACTTTCACTTCATATTTGAAGAAAGTACATTACTGGTTAATCTCTATATAGTTAGGTGCTGAAATTTTTTATTCTTATGTACTAGAATTAATTCCTAAACAATAGATGATAGATGTTTATAAACCATAAAACCCTATCTGGGCAAATAATTGATTATATAAACACAATCAAGTGCCTAATTATTTTTACTTGGTCTACATTAACATATAAAACTAGTCTGATACAAAATAAAGAAATCAGAATAACTGCATAAATAAATTTAAACAACAATTGTTATAACGATAGACAAACATACTGGATCGTTAAAGTTTATTTGTACAAATGACCCACATATGGTTTTTTTATTATAGATAATGTCACATTTTGCATGACAAATGAATATAGTTTGCATATGTTAAAACAAAATACTAACAAGTGCATGTACCAAATGAAAGTAAACAACTGTATTAATAAAGTAAAAATTTAAATAATTTACTTATTTTATGTAGGAAACATACACCTTCATTTTAACATCCGCAGTTGTTTTGATGTACTTCCTTGGTCATTAAGATTCCTTCAAGATAAACGCTGTTTTACATTATGGCAACGCTGCATTAAAGCAATGTTGTAATTTTTTGTCTGTACCAAAATCAGGTCACTAACTGATCTTGATATGGCCAGTTTTTTAATATTGCGGCATGCATTGACTTTCCCACTGTTTGGTTTAATATTAATGAGCGACAAAATATTTTTTGATTTGTCATTTAATTTTCAGATTGTTTTACATTATCCTTAATAAATAGAACATTGTGTAATTATTTAAATTTAATTTGTTCTATAACGGTTTGAGATAATCTCTGCAGACTTATTTAATTTATTAAAAAAATTATATCTAATTAAATGTCGCCTTCAATTTTAATAAACCGTTTAAAGTTAATTAAAAATAAATTATAACTGTTAATAAATGTTTAGCAGAAATTGGTTTAAAACCAATGGATAACTTACACTGTTATACATATTTTTCTTTGAAATTTTATAAAATTTAAAGTGATAAAATAACCCTGTATTTTATGTGTCATTTTTTGACGTCCTTCAAACTTTTATGCATTGCTTATGGCTTTAATAAAAAAAAATTGATTTTTTAATATACCTAATATAATTAAAAATGTCAAGATTAAGTTTCATTTTTTCAAATAATATTTAACCGGCATAGTTTTTTAAAAGTCATGACGACGCAAAAAAGTTTGAGGTGTGCTATGGGAACAAACACGAAAAAATAGAATTTTCTGTTATCCCTACTATTTTGTATTTTGTTTGATATAAGTAGCAAAGAAAAGTACAACTTTTATAGACTGAAATCAAACCTAACAAACAACTGGTGCTTGTACTTATGTACGCGCGTTAGAAGTTAAACTTCATTACATAACTAAGTTTTGGAAAAATGTTTAATACTTTGAAAATTATAAAAAATTTAAAAAAAATTAATATGTTGAAAATTTGTTATACCAATTTTTAAATATAGGTCAGTGTGCAAATTTGTTCTACTATTTTTTAAATTTATGCCAATGTGAAAATTTGTCCTACAATTTTTTAAATATTCTACTGTGCGAATTTTTCCTACCATTTTCTATGTACATATGCATATACGAGTAATACCATGTTAATGCATTAAATCAATTTTTATTTCGTCGATCCGTTATACTAAACGTTCAGTGTTTTCAACAACTAAAATAATAAATTTTATTTATGACCAGATGTCTATAAATTATAAAAGTAAGGCAAAGTATGGATGGTTGGTTTTATACAAAAAACTCTTTCAACCACATCGCGTGGATAATTGTTTTACAAGCAAGTAGCATTTTCAAACCGTTTTTAAGGTCTTTTCACAATTTTTATTGTTAATAAAATAAAGAATTATAACGAATTTAATTTTGAAATACATTAGGTACCTTAACATGTGTACATTTTAAAAGATTATACTTGCAACAAAGTATTAATGATTTTGTAAGCTAGTTGTCTATGCTTAATTGGAATGTTGTTTATAATTGTGTCCTAAAAGTCCTAATATTTCTGTTGATGCTTTTTACCATGTTTTTAAAACCAAATTCGATGTTATTTAAGATACAAAAATAATGTTTTTTGGTAAAACTACCGTGGATTGGTAATAATATAAATTTCTCAAAAGTAAAAAAAGAAATGCATCAAAATCTAATATTTACCATTTTTAAAATAATATTAAACAATCTCCAAAACTTTAAATTTTTAATTAGGAAAAGCCAAACTTCATTATAATAATAAACTTATAGACGATGATCCAAACAAGCAGGCAACAAATATTAAAGATTAATAAATAAAAATAAAACTTTAGTTTCTAAACCAAAAAATATTCTTTTGGAAAAAGAAAATATTGTTATAGATAGTCTATTGAATATAGCTAAAGAATTTAATGTATTTTTTTTGCTAATATATGTGATACACTAAATTTGCTATCACTAAAAAACCGAATTCCAACAACATTAAATCCATTATGTTTTTATATCCCGGTGAAGTTTATGACATTATAAATAATCTGAAATATAAAAAATCCACTGGTTGGGGTGAAATTCCAACAACCTTAATCATAGTATAAATATTTGTTTTGTGAGTGGCGTTTTTCCGGATGGATTAAAGTTGGCTATTGTGAGCGTTTTGCATAATAAGGGTCCTGAAATAAATGTTAATAAATATAGACAAAAATACTGAAAATATCAATATCTATAAGATTGATTAAATATTGTAATAAACATTGGATAATTTCTAAACATCAATATGGTTTCGTTTAAGGTAGTAATACGAAATTAGCAATATTAAATTTTATTCATATGATCATTGGAATAGTAAAACCCTTGCAGTTATGCCTTTTTTGACTTAAGTAAAGCCTTTGACACCATGGATAAAGATTTATTGGAGTTAAAATTAGAAAGATATGGCACAAGAGGTACTGCGCTAAATCTATTTAAATCTTATCTGACCAACCGAAAACAAAGGATCACATAAAATTTGTAGTCTCCATATATGGGTTTACCAATAACAATATTAATATTAATAATAAATGTACCATCAAGTTAAGTACCTACTTCAATTAAATTTTTAGGTGTTATTTTGGACAACAAATTTTTATAAAAATATGGAAGGAATAAACAGATAGTGTTTTAAAAAATTATCCTTAATCTAAGGTTTGTTGTTTCACACTCCTAAATGTGTATTCGCATTTGTTTATTCCAATTTAAAATATGGCATAATTTTTTTGGGTAGGTATTTCATCCCTTACAAAAACTTATTCATTTTTTAGAAAAAATTATTAGAATTATTTTTAATTTAGAATTTTATGAATCATGCAAGGCAATTTTGTAAAAAATCACCTACTTACACAACCAGATCTTTATATTTGAAAATCCAATTTTTTACAAGAAAAAATGTTTTATGTTTAACAATACTAGTAATTTAAGAGAACATTCCCACTTCACTAGAAATAAAGATTTAGTGGTTATTAATCAAAACAGGACCCACACCGTTTAAAACTTTGCTCTGATTTTATATAATAAATTGGCAAGTTTGCCTTAGTTTGAGGAAATTTAAACCTTGTAAACAGATGTGAATACTGCATTGATGATTTTTTTAACTAAAATTTTTTCTTGTTTTTTCTTATTTGTGCCTAATTTTCCTACAATTGTTTAGTAGTAGTTTTTTGAATATTTATACATACTCATATATATATATACCCAGTAAACATTTGTGATTGCGTATTGAAATCACTCCGAAATCTCGTCTTGACATCGTGATATCACTGACGCATTCATATGTTTCCACAATACACAATCAATGGGATATCAAGTCGTGACATTCAAGCGCAATACGCACTCAATGGGATATCACTCCGTGACATTGCTAGCGCGCATGCGCGAGCGAAAGTGCAGGGGAATATTTAAAACATGTTGGAGCTCTGATAAACGAAAAAAGCGTCGTCGCTATCGTTAATTGCGATGCAACGTCTTTTAAAACACGTTGCATCGCTAGTAACAATAGCGACGACCCTCTTATCGTATATCACAGCTTCAACAAACTTGCGGCCTTGGGTGAAATAAAATTATGGGCTAAAATATTAACAGTCAACATTTATTTAAATAAAATAATAATAAGACAAGTTTTGCACACTACCTTTATACAGGGTACATCAAGTATCCTAGGATAGCTATAAGTATAATACCTACATGTATACAGGGTGTCGCAGATTTTAATTGGGAAAATTTAGTGATCTATAGAAATCGAAAATATCAGAAGAAAAGTATTTATGTTTTAAAGCTTCGTTTTCGAGAGGCAGGGTGGTAAAGTTATTAAAAAAAATATTTATTTTTTGGGCAAATTTGATAAAACCTTTTAGGTTTTTAGTAGTAGGCAAAGGGCTTAATTTAATGTAAATTAAATTTAGTTAATCCAGAGGCGGCGCTGAAACATCCCAAATAGTTATTTAAAATAAAATTTTTGATTATGATACAGCTTTTTTTTAAGTTTATTATTATTTATAGATTAAAAATAAAACGGAAACGAATTTAATTTTTTTCTTCGCTTGCAAAATCGCAAACAAATATAAAGTGAAGTTATATATTTTTGGGGAAATAATTGTTTAAAAGCATTAACCTATAACGTGTCTAACAATAATAACATAATAGGTACGTAATTAACGTTTTATGACCAAATTAAAGTAATGTCATTTAAATGAAAAGTTTCGTCCCTGCGGGGTCACGTCGTGACATAAAAAGATCACGCGCGTGTCACTGCTGACATAAAACGACAAACTTAATCACTGTGCCAGCAATTGGATATCAAGTTGT